GGATCCCCGTTCCTCGTTGGGGACGGGGATGGGGATTGATCAAATTCCCCTGTGGGGATGGGGATGGGGACGGGGACAAAGATCGGATATCAGGGACGGGGATTGAGGTCCCCGCCACATCCCCGCCCAGTTACCATCCCTAGTTTGTAGTTTACTTATATGTTATGCAAAGTAAATTAGGTCTCCCGCGTCATCTTTGAATGTTTTATGCTCTTCCAAGGGTGAGTGTGAGTAAGTCGTGCAAATAACCCGATTAAAGCGATGTTTTTCCGTCTTAATATTCTATAGCTTTATTCAATAACTGTATTTGTTCTCACTAGGCGTTACCCATTATAGAAACACTTTTTCTATAAATGACATATAAATTAGGTTCTCTTAACAGTGGGGCTCCTAAGTCATGAGTGGAGCGATTGTTTTCAATAGTGGCACTTTTGATGAATTGGCGTTATTTATACGTTGAAAGGAATTCTTATGGAAAGAAGATAGAGACACATGTCTATAATCTAAACTTAAAATAATTTAGATTAGTAGGTTGTTATTTATCTTCTTTATATTTGAGATAGTAAACGCTATACTATTTCCCCACTCTAGGGTGATATTATAGTTCATAGGTTTTATTTACATCTTAATATTCGGTTTAAAATGTCTCCTATTTTAGGGGGTGTCACAACAAGTTTTTTTAGAACATATTTAAAATAAAGTGTCGTATTAGCTATTTTATAGCACACTATTTAAAACATGCCTTGTAAAATCAAGTGTCCTACAAAAAATGTGTTTATAGGACATTTCTCAAAAGTATCTTATAAAATAGCTAATACGACGCTTTATTTTTAAAATGTTCTAAAGAGTTTGTTCAAATGCCTAAATGCGTCTTATAAAATTGTTACAACACTTTTAAATGTTATCGTTTAGTCCTATAAACTTAAAATTTATAAAACGATCTATTATAACACTCAGACATTGTTGGTGTCTTATAAACCTGATTTTTTCGTTGTGAATATATAGGATTGCACCCGAGTGAGAATAAAAGTTATGGTGAGAATGGTAAGATTATTTCTAAACCGTTTGATGAGTTGACTATTTGATCTAACGGCTAAAAAATCGCAGACCTTCAATTAACTACAATTGATTGCGACTAAAACACAGCCTTCAGCTGCCTTAATAAACCACTTTATAGGACTTCATTTATAGGACCCAAAAAAAGCGTTAGGCATCTGAATAAGTTTTTTATACACTTCTATTACAAGACAACGCATTAGCAATTTTATAGGACTGGTAGCAAAAATACACACATGTAAATGTGTCACAATAATGGTGCAAGTATACGTCACTATTGAATTCGTTTTCAAGTAATAAAGCGGTAAAAATACCGAGATCGTATCACAGGGATCGGACTTTAAAGTTTCGAGTAGTAAGTCGAGAACATAATGATTTCAATGCAATTATGGCATATTTATTTGTAATGTTACATGCTTTGAGTTTGTGCTCATTCATTTGGGATCATTTAATTTAGACTATAATGTAATGGATCCATAGACATTGGAGTCAGTCTGTTGGTCTTAAAATAGGATTTATATCCCCTGGAATGTAGCTATTATTATTTAGGATTAGCGGAGGACTCAAGGTACAGACCGCAGGTGGTTGAACTTGATGACTGTATGATCTATAACAGAGGATTCAAGGTATAAATCATGAGTGGTTAAACTTGATCATGTGATCCATAGCAGAATACTAAAACTATAAACCATGAGTGGTTGAACTTGATGACCATATGATCCATAGCGGAGTACTCAAGCTATAGACTGTGGATGGTTGAATTTGATGACCGTGAGGAGATATTGGCTATAATTTATAGTGAACGAGTATGTCTAGGACCGACGAAGGACTCGAGCTATAGACCGCAAGTGGTTGAACTTGATGACCGTGTGATTCACCGTATAACTCATTAACATAGAATGTGGCTTACTTTTGTGTTCGCCACATTCGATGGATACGAGTCTCCCCATTATTGAAAGATGTTATTTTTGAATGGTATATTATACATGTTTTCGTTGTTGTCTTGAGTATGAAGTGTTTTCCATGATATATAGTTTTGGGTATTGAACCTTATCCATGTTTTGAGCATTTTTTGATAATATAGTTTTTATCCATGTACACAATATTTGGACATTAAACTTCATCTACGTCTTGGAGTGAATATTGGATTTTGAGTTCATATTGAATGGATATTCTGATTTAGAGTTTTCATCACGAAAATGGTATATTTTGAAAAGATGTTGCTTTTACAATAAAAACATTTTATTTGAGAAATTATGTTTGAATAAGCAGTCTTTCAATCGTACCGTTTTATAATTATGATAAAAACTGCTTGAACTCATTAAGCGTTGAGCCGAACCCTTTTCATTTGTTGGCATATGCATCAGGTTTTTGTTGTGGAGTGGTACTAGCGACACTGTGAAGAGTTAATTGATAGTTAGATGCACGAGAAAGAAATGGCTATTCGGGGGACATCTTTCATAGTTAGAGATAGCAACCGCAATTGAGTTTTAGTAACGACAGTCCCTAATTATAGATTTGTTTAAGGTTTGGAATATCATGTATTGATATTGAATCTTATATCCTCATTATAGGTAATCAAGTGTTGACTTTTAAATAAGGACTTTATCCTTATTTGATGTTTAATTGAAAATTTTAAATTAGTCGTTCTTTCCAAATTTGAGGACGTTAAACTTAACGTTTATAAGACCACTAATAATGAGTCCTATTTAAAAACGTTACAATAAGTTAATAGAGAAATTTGATCCCCCTCACAAGTTCTCACGAAAAAAATAAGTTGTTAGCATGATATTAAAATAAGAATTAAGAAGTAGAGTATCTTAATAGTCTTTTATAGACGACGTTTAAAAAGGAGTCCAATAAAAACAGTCTAAAAACCAAGATTCGTTGTTCTGGTTAACGATTTGTGACAATCGATCTTTTTTGCACTTATTATATAATAAACAACAATAATCTCAATCATGTTCTTATCGGGTAAAAACATCTTACAAACAATTCGTTTTGATCACCGAGAATATTAATCCCTAAAGTAATTGAGAATGATGGCATTTCCCGGTTGATAAACGACGCTAAAAAAATGGGGGTGTGGTAATCAGAATTTAAGGCTCTAAAGCGAAATGCATAGGATATGATAATCTGGTGATTTTAATCCACATACGTAACCCCGATATTTTTTTAAAAAGTGTACAAGTTAAAATATAGGGAAGTTTGGTGTTTTTTTGAAAACGACCGTAATTTTGTTTGTCTAAATATGACCATTGCTTCGTTCTAATCATATTGTGGAGTGGATCAAACGAGGAGTCGTAATTGATGATTTCCTTTTCATAATTTCCAGGTGTCATTGATTGCACGAAAACCCCATGAGACAACGTTGTCAAGTTCAAGAAGGCAAGTCAAAGTGGATGTCTTTTGTACTCTACAAGCATTCCCCATTTGCCATTTATGTGTTTGGTTTATTTTATTATAAATATCGTATGAGAAAAAGAGTTAAAGATGATAAGTATAAAATGGGATCTGAACGTTTGATCACTTTTAATCTTATATATATATATATATATATATATATATATATATATATATAAATTGTGCTTCTTACGAGAATTGATCTGGTTCGTCTTGGTACGTCTCATTAGTGTCAATTTTCAATTAAACTTGACCCAAAGGAACATATTCCTTCTTACTTTTCTCAGTATAACTTTTTTTTTACCGGAACTCAACTCTATAATAAAATAGGGTTTTTATATAAAACTTTAAAAATGTTTGATTATTTTAATAAATTGTTTTGCAAGACTTAATAAGTATCATATGTAAAAATATTATAATAAAGGGAAATTTATTAAAGTAGACGTTTCTCAGGCTGGTTTCACCTCATAGCCATTTTCCCTCCAAGTTTATTGAAAATAGCTATAGGTCCGCAAAACTCACGTCCGCAATTGTGGACCCAGCTAAACGACCAAAAAAATTTAAAGTTGTGGACCTAAGGTTATTTTGGTAAACCTTGTAAATAAATCAACTGGTATGATATTGATTGTACTCCCCAACGAATACTTGTTTTGCATCCATAATCAGTATCCGTTTAGTTTGTAGTATTGTTTTTGACAAATTTAGATTTCATGGAGGAATTTGGATTTGAATGAATTTGAAATCATTAGTGTGTTTGGTTTGTATAATATGGAATGGAATTGAATTTCATTATTTATAAAAATAATTAAATTACATTTTTATTAATCAATCATTAGAAAACAAATGTTTTTAACTTTTTTAAAACCATCTTGCATAATCCTACGACATGCCGTGAAATCCCAAGTACCCCTAACAATTTCAAAATCCTATGTTTGTAGGATTTCAATTATATGATAAGATTTCAAATCAAGACAATCGAAAAAAACAAACAAGAAATTAAAATAGATTTAAAATATATATATATATATATATATATATATATATATATATATAGGGTTGGGTTCACGTGAAACCAAAGNCAATTTATGTTCATTGATCAACTTTATAAACTAATGATCTAATGGACTAAAGTTGCACGGTGGCAATTTTATGATTATTGAAAGGGCTTGTGACAAATTTTGTGATTATGAATGTTCAAATTTTAGATTTAATCCAATGGTTGAGAATTGGTCTTACGGGTTTCACGAAAAAACATTTGGTTTCACATGATCTCAAGTATATATATATATATATATATATATATATATATATATATATATAAAATGTTGTGGATAAATCTGAAAAGTACAACCTTTTTTGCTAAAAGATACAAGTTACGTAAAATGAATTACTTTGTGATTGTATTGAAATATGTATATATTATTTTAGGCATGTGTTTAAATATTATTATATTTATGAAATATATATACAAGACTTGGATACTAAGTCAATTAACTTGTACAGTTATAAATCGACATGGATCCAGTCATCAAAACCTTCTTATAAAACCACCCTTCTTTGCAAGATTTTTCTTCAACTTACATTTCATCCCCCAACTCTCTCTCTCTCTAAAACCTTTGATTTTTCCGGTAACATGGCGATGGACGACATCATCTCCGGCGACACCCTTTTCAAGGTTGGATTATTCATCCTAGTTCAAGCTCTCGTTTATCTTATTCTATCAAGTTCTTCCAATATCTTCTCGAAGACCGCCCCTACTCTTAGAGCCACAAGCTTTAGAACGGTTCGGTCGGTTAGTATTCGCCGCATAATGGCTGCTCTCTCGGACTTGCCGGCTGGTGGCGAGACCTCTCCGTCAATCAAAGGCTCGGCTTCTTTCAAACGACAAGATTCGGGTACTGGCCATGACCCCTTTTCATAAACTTGGGATTTCTTTGATTGTAAATACCATACAAGGGTCATAGACTTGTTTTGTTTTTGTTTGATTTATGGATTAATTTTCAATAGACACATAATGTTTGACTTTTGGTTTGATCGATTGTATCTTGGAATGATTAGAAAATTGCAATAAGGTGAGTGTTTTGTTGTTATAAAATTGGTTTAGGTTATGATAATTATAATATATTGCCTCACATGTTCAACTCATGGGTTCTAATTAGAAATATTTAGCCATCGTCATTTATTCGTTTCGAAATACTGTTTTGTCTGTTAAATCTAAAGACTGTTTAACGTGACCCACTTGTACTTCCACATGTATCTTGCAACGTACAATAGTTATAGTTAGCCATATGTTCAAAGTCTATATAAAAACGCATCCAACAATTGAGATATATTTCTTGAATTTTAAAGTGTCACACAATTAACCAGCGTACATCTGGTTAAGTCATATATTTTGAATTTAAAAGAAAAAAAAATTAACATTTTAAGAAGACAGATGTAGCCGTAAATGTAAATGCTTAAAATACCATGATTCCTTGGGAATTTTTTATTCGGGTAATATTGATTTGTGGAAAATGCTTCAAAAATCCGAATTTTAAATTTTAAACGCGGTTTAGGGTTCAAAAACTGCCGTTTTGATAGTTTTCGTGTTCATTTTTCGAATTGGTCATTTTTGATTTAGAGAGGTACACAGATTCGTAACAATCGATTCTTTGTTCGAAAACCACTGATTTTATTCGATTGAAATTTGGATTGTACCATCGAAATACTTCAATCTGAAAGTGTTACACGACTTTCAGTGGAATCCAAGCAATCAAAAACCAGAAATTCTAACATAAATGTGGGTAAAGAGAATGACTACAACTCATGTGGTGACTCACCATTACTTTGCTCATAGACTGAATTACCATTGCGGAATGTTTGTCTAAGAGAAATGACTATCCAGGTTGTAAATAAGATGAATGAACAAGTTAGCAAAGATCTATGTTCTTCTCCAATGCATGTATTTTTAAGAACATTTAACGACATAACAATAAATAAGTTAACATGTCTTTAATGACATCATCAATGGGAATAATTATAATGCCCACATTCATGTCATCAAGAACCTATCGACATGTAAAGAGTATGTAGGTCGCGAATCATATGATAATAATGATTGTTGACGTCAAATGAACCTATGAGGGTCACATGTAAAGAGTATGTAGGTCTCGAATTAACCATGTTGGTTGTGAACCAAATAGGTTACATGTTGCAAAGTATAAGTATTATTATTTTAGTAGAGTAATAATAATTGTGTGTAAAATATAATTATGATGATTATATGTATTATTAATTATTATGTTAATAATTAATTAAACATAAGCCCAAGGTTTAATGGTAATAATGATTACTTTAAGTCCACGCAATTAATTATTAAGTTAATAATTAATTGTTTAGTTAAGCCCATAGGTTTTTAAGGGCCCGGTCCGTTTAGAGAAAAAAATGGGGAGCCTTTTGAATCCTAACATTACTAGGGTTTGAAAAAAATGGGGAGCCTTCAACTACCAATCCATTGAGGTAATATTTTAAAAACCCCCTATGGTTTGGTTTCGTATATCTCTATTTTTATTTGTAATAGATTCGGGCTTGGGTTTCCCGATTATTGCTTTATTTCCGCTGTATGTTTGAGATCCCGGTGAAACCCTATAGTGGTATCAGAACCTCGTTAAGATAAAGTAGAGCGTGAAATCGATTAAAACGATCGAAATAAGAAAAAAACAACTAGGAAGCTTGTCATTGCTGCCGTGCGCCGCCGGCCATGCTGTCGCCGTAGGCAGCCCCCATCGTGCGACATGCTCCACGATGCGGCTTGGTGCCTCCCCCCTCTCTCGTTGGTTTTGGGCTTTAGGGTTTCTCGTGGTCCGGTTTGGGCGTAATCGTTTTGACCAGTTTTGATCGTTTTCGTTTGGACTTGTTATCTTTATGTTTATTGGATCCAAGCCCAATTGTTTTGGTTGTTTGCCTTGGTGAATTCGATTTTGGCCTCAGACCCATAGTAGTTTTATTTTGCTTTTGATAAATTAAAATGTACCTTTTATGGGTTTATGTAATCTTTATATTTATATGATCCTCGTATCGTTTTTCGATTCTAAATGTAATGTAATAGTTAGTTTATGTTAGCCTAGTGCAACATTAGTTTAGATTTTTTTTGTGTAACTGGAAGACCAAAGGAATCGATGACGGCGTCCCAGAGTCCATCCCGTTCGATGGAGCTAGTGGGAGTCTTTACACGATGTCCTTAGGGTTTGAACGGGGTTGTCCATGTGGGATCACAAAAACCTGTTAGTAGGCATATCGGATCCTATTGCTTGTTTGTAGTTGTTTATTTTTTTTTCATTTTAATATTGCTTATAATGTGTTATAATTATCGAGACATTTTTCTCCTTTTAAAGGGGAAGAAAAAAAAATTAATCATAATCGCTAAGTTTTTCAATAACATGTAAATGTTTTACAATAGCATTGATAACTTATCAAACTCAAACCGATTAAATGAGTTTTATATAATTTATAAATTTTTTTAAAATCAATTTAAAATGTCAATTCTACAGAGCTCAGTAAAACCCTTATTTAAAAAAATCGTGGGTTTTTCACCACCCATTTAAAACACTTACTGTCCAATTTCGGATGAGCATTGGCAAAGCCAGGTCAGACAAGTATGGTGTAAGATAAGGATCCAAATCACGAGATCATGGCAGGTTGTTTATTGCCCACTTATTATGATAGTTGTGACCGGACGACCAATTTCTGAGTTGTTACTCGAAAATTAAGAATTGTGATGTTTTAGTATGGTTAAACTCACTTGAGGTATTTGTATATTGTGTATTGCACGTCTACAAATAACCTCAACATGGAGAAGTAAGATTAAACATGTCTATATTATTCAAAGAATCTCATGAGGATCTAAGAGTTGTGATGATCATAATTGGAAGTTGCCTACCTAAATAACTATTTTTATGGTTTCCGAATTGACCAATCGTAAAAATAATGAAATATGGATCTTAGCTCAATTTTGAATTTTAAGGGTTATTCAAATTTTGAGAAACTATAACTAAAATTGAACTTTATTTTTTTGTAGATGTTTGCTAATCAAGATAACACAAACTTGAACCTTTCCTAGTACACTTCCCGTTCCATTTTAGATAAAGAAAAATTAAATGGACAAAACTTCTTGGAATGGTTTCTCTTGCTAAGGTTCGTCCTCAGGCATGAAGAGAAGTTCTATGTACTCGAGGACCCCCCCCCCCTCCAAACCCTCCATCTAGGAACGCTAATAAGAGTGCTCGAGTTGCTTATGATAAGTATCAAAGAGACTCTCTGAGGGTCTCCTGTCTGATGTTAGCCTCTATGACTCCTAAACTCTTGAAGGAACACGAGGAGTTGTCAGCCTGGGAAATGATTACCACCTTGAGGACTATGTTTGGCCAGCAGGTAAGGCAAGAGAAGTTTGATATTGTGTGATCATTACATTCTTGTATGATGCAAGAGGGGACACCAGTCAGTGTCCATGTCTTAAGGATGAAGGGACACATTGATTGTCTGGATCGATTGGGATACCCTCTTAGAAAAGAGTTAGTGGTCGACATGGTCCTGAATTCTCTGACCAAATCATATGATAGCTTTATGCTCAATTATCATATGAACGACTCGGACAAATCTCTTATTGAGTTGCATGGTATGCTAAAAACTGCTGAAAGAGGGATTAACTCCAAGTTGGAGAAGCCAAGACTATTTTGATGATCAAGGCAACAGGAAGGATAATCAAAAGGAAAAGTATGAAAAGTGTGACTAGAAGAGGAAAGGCAAAGACTGGAAGCTCCAACAAGAACAAGAAGAATGAGGGAAAGATTCTCCTGGATGCAATTTGTTTTAAATGCTCAGAGAAAGGTCATTGGAAAAGAAACTGTCTAGTTTTGATTGCAAAGGCAAGGAAGGAGAGGGCTCAAGGAGCTGTTACGACCAATTTGTTCACTTCTGATTATGATTCCTGGTTTTGGATATCAGGTGTGGAACTCATATATATTCCTATTTGCAGGGGCTAAGAAGTGAAAGGCAACTGAGACAAGGCCAATTGGAGCTCAGGATGGACAATGGGACAAGAGTGGATGTTGTATCTCAAGTAGAATATGATATGATCCTTCCAAATGTTTTACTTATGAAACTTCATGATTGTCTCTACGTTTATAGTATCGTTAGAAACATAGTTTCAGGTGCTCGTTTGAGACAAGATGGATTTATGTTTAAATTTCTTGATGAAGGTTCCATTTCTGCATGTTTGCATGGGATTTTATATTTTATTGCTAAGATAGTTAATGGCATTGAAATAGATATTCGTAGTGGTCTTAATTCTAAATCGATGTATAATGTGAATGCTAAAAGACTTAAGCAAGACTTGAGTCAATCATACTTGTCACATTGTCATCTTGGCCACATAAACAAGAAACGCATTGCCAAGCTCCAATTGGATGGGATCTTGAAATCAAACTGATGATTCGTTTGATAAATGCGAAGCCTGTTTGTTAGGCAAGATGACTAAGGCACCATTCAATGGGAAGCCCGTAAGAGCAAACAAGTCATTGGGAGTGATACATACTGATGTATATGGTCCCCTCAACCCAGCCACAAGAAATGTTTGTTACTACTACATTATATTTACTGATGATTATAGTAAATATGGATATGTTTATCTAATGAAACACAAATCTGAAACCTTGAAATTTTCAAGGAGTTTCAGAATGAAGTGGAGAACCAACTTAGCAAAGGATAAAAGCCCTTCCGTTTGATCGAGGTGGTGAATATATGAGCCAATAATTCATTGATCATCTTAGTAAGTGTGGGATAATCTCACAACTTACTCCTCCAAGAACACCGCAACACAACGGTGTATTTGGAAGGAGAAATCGGACCTTGTTAGATATGGCTAGATCTATGATGAGTCATACCAAATTGTCTAAAAGTTTTTAGGGATATGCTTTAGAATTAGCCACCAAAATATTGAACAACATACCCACCAAGAAGGTCGATAAGACCCCATATGAAATATGGAGAGGGAAGATCTCAAATCTATCTTACATGAGAGTTTGGGGCAGCGATGCTTATTGTTTATCATCTCTCTCAGTGATTTGATGATAATCCCTTTTCCCTTTCACGTTGTATTTGTGTTTCTGTATTTTCAGTTCCAACGATCATCACTGAGTATGTTCAGTGATCGTTGAAGAGCTTGCATTGTAAATTCATCAGAGACAGCAATGCTTCAAGAAGACAACACTCACACCAAAGAACCTTCAGCGAA